CAATGAAGACACTCTGACATTACATGTTTCTTTATTGTACACGTGTGTTAAGAAGAGGGAGGAGCTATCTTAGCATTTTCATGGGTTGTCACTGCTCTCTGCTGTTCAGTCGTTTTATTTAGACAAAGTCTTGTGTGACACACGGACAGCAGCGAGAGGAAAAGGGAAGGTTTACAACATGGTTTGGAGTGAGTAGCACTAACGCAAAGACAGGAGGCTGAGCTGGAGGTGACAGAGTTGAAAATGTTAAGGTTTTCATTGGGAGTGACCAGAATGGACAAAATCAGATACGAGTACATCAGAGGGATAGCTCAGGTTGAGTGATTGGGGGATTTTTAATGTTGATGTTTAATATTGGAGCTATCACGCAGCAAGAAGATCACAGAGAATATTTATGGATGTAGTGAAGGAGGCAGAGGGTTGTGTGACAGAAGAGAATGCTAGAGAAGACTACATTTTATCAAGGCTAACTGAAAAGGTTGCCTGAATAGTCAGAGGGGGTTTCACTGAAGAGCTAGAAGCTCTTTCTGTTTGATAGGAATAGGACATTACTCTAGAATTATAATTGTGATTGCAAATAAAATCATCCTCATTCTGTTTCATTTTTATTGGCTGTCTGACTCTTAGCCTGATCTCTGGTTTTAAAAAGCAACAAATGTAAAAGTTAGGCTTATTCTTCAAACTGACCCTCATATTTTGGGGACTGTTCACATCCATAGCAGTTATAAACACATTCTCCTTTCTTTGCTGATACCAGAGCATCATTACAAGGGATGCATCATTATGCTTGCAGTTTATTTGGAGATGAAACTTTTTTTCATTCACTATCTTGGGGAGATTTGTGAAACATAACAGTGCTCACCTGACCTGCAGAAAGAACCTGGAGTCTCTTTTCCTTTAAAAGAGGAAATTAAATGGGTAGAAATATAAACAGAGCCAACAATGCAGGAAATGACATCCTAATCTGAGCAGTGATAAAAGGACCAAAGTGAGAGAAACTGTGTGAAGGCAGACTTTAGAACTGTCACGCCTCCTTTATCAATCATGCAGGTGTGGCTTTGATGCTGTGTGCCACCAGCTTTTTGTAAAGCAGGCAGAGGAGTTGAAACACTGTGTCGACTTGCAGCACAGAAGTATTGTGCTGTGTCTGCTGGATTAACATTGGAGATTTCAAGCTGAGCTTTGGCCGTTGCATGGCCTGTTATGTTAAATTT